AATGAACTCATTTCTCATTGCTGGTCTGTTACTTCTTGCTTGCGTTACCTCGCTTCGAGTTAAGTCTAGTCACGCTAATCCTCTATGGAAGCTTCAAACACCTCCTGCTCACGTCCTACAAACATCACACGGAACGATATTCAAACGAGATGGCTACTCTTCTGTTGGTGGCTGGGTTAATGATGCATTCAATATGCCTTTGGTCCAAGAATCTGTTTGGTTGGTTGAGTTTGGCGTTAATCAAACTGCTACTGATTATAACAACTTCTTAATCGAAATTAATGCAACTTCTTACGTTAGTCCACGTTATTATTATGACAGTCCTATGTTCCGTGGTGTATCTTTGGTTATTAATGCAAGTTCTGCTGTTGCAATGCCTACATCTGAAATAATTGGCAGAGTTGCTGATACGCCTTCTGTTACACGTGTTTGGCCTACTCTGAAACACAAAGCTCTCAAGGCTGAGTCGGTTGAGATCATAGGACCATTCTTGAATGCTATTCCAGTTCCAGGTTCAAATGCTACTGTTGAGTTTCCTCCGTTTGCTACCGAAACAGGCGTTAAATACGCTCATGAAAAGGGACTCACAGGAGCAGGTATCAGAATTGGTATTGTTGACTCTGGTGTTGACTATGAGCATCCGTTTTTAGGTGGTTGTTTTGGAAAGGGTTGTAAGGTCAGATACGGATACAGCTTCATTGAAGGTGAATCTCCTGATGATATTTCAGAATCTGACATAGATCATGGTACTTTTGTCGCTGGTATTGCTGCTGGTTATGATAAAGTTTCTGGTTGGTCTGGTGTTGCTCCTGGGGCTACTTTGGGTATTTACAAGATATTTTCTTCAAAAGAGGAAGGTTCTAGTGACGAATTGATTTTGGCTGCTTTGGAAAGAGCCTATAAAGACGGCATGGACATTGTTAATCTTTCGTTAGGAAACGGTCCGGGCTGGCAGAATTCTCCAACTTCAATGGCGCCTAGTGTTTTGGCTTCTCTTGGTATTGTTGTTGTCGCAGCTGCTGGAAATGGAGGATCAAATGGTTTGTATGATGTTAACGCTCCTTCGGTGGCACCTCTTGTTACTTCAACAGCATCCATTGATAGTTCTTACACTTTTGTAAAAGCTTTTTATGCCAACAAAAATTCATACAGGTTGATCTATTACAGTCCGTCTGAAACAAAAGATGGAAAGGTTGAATTTAACAAGAAACTCACAGACGGAGAATTAGTTCTCACATCTTCTTACACGATCAATAACTTGCCAGAATCTGATGCTTGTGATGCTCTTCAAGATAATGTCAAGGGAAAGATTGTTCTGATAAGAAGAGGAACATGTACATTCGGAACTAAGGCCAATAATGCGGAGATCGCTGGAGCTAAAGCGGTTTTGATTTATGATAACGAAGAATCTTCAGAGAATTTCAAAGTTGGTCTGGGTAACTTCAGCATTTCTATCCCAGTGTACAGTATCAAGAAAGAAGACGCCTTCTACTTAATTGGTTTGATCAACGAGTCCGAAAATCAAACAATCTCAACAACATGGCCTTCATCTCATTTTGTGAAGTCCGTAGAAACTGCAGGGAAAGTTTCTTCATTTTCGTCTTTGGGTCTCTCTAGCGGACTAGAGTTGAAACCAGATATTGCAGCTCCAGGAGGTCAGATCGCTTCAACTGTTCCTATGAAACAAGGTGGCTTTGGAATGCAATCGGGAACTTCCATGGCTTCACCTTATGTGGCTGGATGTTATGCATTAATGATGGAAAGCATAGGAACGAAAGTCTTGAACAGACTAAAGAAATCTGGCACTGCTTCCGTGCTATTGCAAACGGTTATGTTGAACAATGCTCAACAATTAAGTGGAAATGCAACTTCAGGAAATGAATATTTGGATTCTCCTGCTAGACAAGGTTCTGGTTTGATCAACATCAAGAATGCTTTGCTGTCTTCTCAGTTTGTTCTGCCTTCAAAGATCCAGTTAAAGTACTTTGATGACTCCGATGCCAGTAAGAAACGTTTTGCAACATTAACTGTGATCAACACGGGAAGGGACGACATTGAATATGAAGTTTCTCATCAATTCTCGATTGCTATCAATGGAAAGAATGTTTCTGATCCTCTGTACAAGAGTCCACCAAAGGATGCTTATGAAGTTAATTTTAGTCAAGACAAGTTGTTCATTCCTTCAGGACAATCCTCAAATGTTACAGTATATTTCTCATACAGAGAGAACTCAGAGAATATCATTCCTGATTTAGAAAACTGGCTTCTTGGTGGATTCATTTTGTTTACTCCTAGCAATTCTGCTCAAACAAGTGTTTCAGTCCCGTATGCATTTTACAAAGGTTCATTTACAAATGTGGAAGTCCTAAATACTGAAACGTTACCGAATTCAAATAGTTCATTCCCGGTACTAGTTAATACAGCCAGCTTTACTGGAGACAATATTACTGACATGGAGCTTATCACAGAGAATGCCAACTTCAACTTTAACGAAGACGAACAGGCAGCAGTTGCTTTTAGATTAAGATATGGTACTCCAAAGGCTTTACTGGTTATATTGGATGATAAGGATGATCCTATTGGTGTTGCAGACTCAATACCTTATCTCGGTAGAAATGGAGATACAGGCGGAAGTCCTCCAGCATATATTCTTGGTTGGGCTGGTAATTACACAATTCCAACAAACTTTGAGCAAATCAAGAGAGCTATTTACTATAGTCGAAATGCAGCTCCAAATTCTGAGAAGGAGCTCTTCAAAAACATTAACGATTTGGTGACTGGTTTGCCACTAACCTGGAACAAGAACTTCACTACAGGATCTGCTCTAAAGGAAGGAAATCCGTTTAGCGAACTAGACAAATACTTAACTCAAGAGGCACCTGATCAATTTGTAGATATGGTGGAGCCTGGAACTTACTCACTTCTACTGGTAGTTCAGAAACCTGGTGGCTCATTTATGGACATTGAAACATGGCAAACAAAGCGTTTTGGCGTATTACAGAATACGAATTAGAAAAGAACAATAGATTTAAAAGATGTTTACTTAAGTCGGAATCATTAGCCTTCGTTTCTCCAGAGGAATACTTTGCAACGCTTGAACAGTCGTTGG